CATGATGAAGTCACAGTGAAGTTGACCTTTGACCTTTTGGATGTCAAATGTCATCACTTCATTTGATCCTTATAAACATTTGAGTTAAATTGAGTTAGAGTGAATGAATTCATGAGAAAGGGGAGAGAGGGGGTGAGACAGTAAGAGACAGAGACAGAGCAGCACACATGAAGCCACAGACAAGTCTCATTCCCTCAGTCTTCTCGTGGTCGCCGTGGTTACTACACATGAAAGATGGAATAAAAAAATCCTGCCTTGCTGCCGGCCTGCTGCCGTGGTTACACGTGAGTAACGGTCACCGTGGATACGGCACTGTGCCTCCCCTGCTCGCTCTGCACTAGTCCCTTTGAACTGAGAGTGATGAAGACACAGAGGAGCTGCAGACTGATGCTTTCTATATATTTCAATACATTGAGCTTTAACAGCTTCATGTCCCGTGACTCGACATGACGGAGGAAATTTCCACTTTAAACTCCCAATATCTCAAGAAAAACTGCCCTAAAATTATGAGAATTAAAAATGTAATTTTTGAGTTCTGAGGTTCTGAGGTTGGATCCACTGTGACATCATTAATAGAAACGTGTGATTGGATAAAGTGACAGATGTTCTGTGATCTACTGTTGTTGTGCCCCCCCGCTGGGCCCCAGTCTGCAGCCTCAGTTTAATGACTCTTAACTGTGAAGTTAACAGTGACCCTAAAGGTCAGAGGTCACACAGAGGAGAGACCTTCTGGCCTCTTGACCCTTTGTGCTCTCGCTCTAATTGCCACCTGCAGAGAGAGAGAGAAGCAGCTTCACCTGGTTTCCCTCCTCTTTCGAAACACTGGTTCTAGTTCAGTTCAGGGACATTATGAATATTATCAACAACATTAACGAGGAAAAATTACAAAAATAAATGATGATGTCAAAAACATTTAGAAATGTGGAACGGCTTGTTGAAGCAGACGGCGAGGTGTGATTGAAAAATAAAGCTTTTGTTTTGTTTATTTATTTTATCCTTTAATATCTTGTTTAGGTCGTCAAGCCTGATTAATATGTTGTTGTTTGTTTACTGTGACTCAATGTGTGAACTTTGACCTGGTTATTTTTGATTTGGTCAATAAAGAAAAAAGATTATTGTGTCACTGGTCGCTGCGTCAGTAAAAGGAGGTGCTGGGAGGAAAATGAATTAAATATCACTGTATATTAAATATGTTTCGTGATTCGTCACAGAATTCGCTGGAATTCAAGGGAAATGATTATCTGGACTAGACTGAGACGGACCGCTCCCATCTTAAAGAGAAGAGAGGATCAGCTGACTGACAGACGTACCAGAGCTGCCTGCGTTCACTTATTATGAAGTTAATATGTTACATGTGTGTAAATCAGTGGAGGCAAGGAGGCAGGAGAGGAGGAGAGGAGGAGAGGAGGAGAGGAGGAGAGGAGGAGACGAGGAGAGGAGGAGAGGAGGAGACGAGGAGAGGAGGAGACGAGCTGAGGTCAGATCAGAGAAACTCAGCTACACTCAGACTGTCCATCAGCTGCTGCTCCTGACCTTTGACCTGCCTGCGTCGCTGTGCAGATCAGTAACATGGTACGTCGCTAATTAAACAGAATGTGATGAGCGGAGCATCATGGGTGATATGATGACATCATATTGCACTTTGACTCCCAGCACACTGAAGTTTAACCCTTGCTGGTCTGGAGCTGCTCTGACTGAGCTCTAATGAGATGATGATGATGTAATCTAATTAATGAAAGATTGGAAGTGTTGCAGGGAAACAGCTGCTGAGAGTGTGAGTGTCTACAATAAGCCGAGGTGTTTGATGGACAGGTACACAGGGGGGGGGGGTTACTGTTAGTAAACAGTAATGTCAGTCTAAATGCGCCACTGTGTTCCTCAGACTAGACACAGAAGTGTTGTGATGTGTGACTCTGGGTCTGCAGGACACTGAGCTCTGACGCTTGGCTCTACGACACTTGCTGTTGTGGCGGCGTGGCGGCGGGGAGGCGCTCTGTGATCCAGCCGGTCACCTCCTTCAGCACGGACTCGGCCACCTCCGGCAGGTCGTGGTGGAGGGCGTGGTAACCTCCCTCATACACCTGGACAGACATTCAGAACAACAAGAGAGTCAGACAGACTGGAGCCGGCTCTTCCAAATCCTGGAAAGGTTTTTAGAAATCTGCTTGATGAACATCAGACGCAGAGTCAGTGCTGGTCTCTGTCTTCAAACACTTCAATCCAACACAAACATCCAACCACAGCCACCTCCTGGTGCTCGTATCCCTCCTCCACTCAGACTAGTTCCAGGTCACATCCTGTTCATCCAGACTCTCAGAAAATATGAACATCTGTGTGAAATCTGTGTGTGAAGTCTTGAGTAATGGCTAGGTCACACTGACCTTGACCTCTGACCTCTGACCCCCAAAGTGGTCAAAGGTCAGAGGTCAGATCATCCTTGAGTCCCGGTGAACGTTTTACTAAATCTGAAGATGTTGTGTCAATGTGTTACTGAGACATCGTATCAGACAACCTGAAAACAAAATGGCTGCTGCTCTGACTGTCGCCGGTGTGGAGGCATAGAAAGGCCACTGATGCATCATGGGAGTTTGGTTTGATTTATTTTATCAAACAAACAAAGGAACAAAAGGATCATGTTTCCTGTTCTGGTAAAAACCATCGGCCCACCCAGGTGCATGCTGGTCCGTAACCAGTCCACCTCCATAACTAACCTCATGAGCTCAGAGCGTTAGCCCAATAAACAAATCACTAGTTAACCAGACTAACTAAGATAAAGAAACTAACGACTGACAAAAGAGAAAATCATCAAAGGAAAGACAGAAATCTGAACTCAGAACTCAGTCGGCTCAGGAGACAAACTCACACTGAGCTGAACAGGAAACATGATTCTGTGATGAACCATGTGATATCACTTCCTTCTTTACAGACACACGTCCTTCTGCAGAGGAAGAGTCTATGGCAGTTAAACAGTCTGTCAGTGAACGCACCCTGTTTGTGCAATCAGTCACTCCTGTTTCCGATGAGCTGAGCAGAGAATTCAACGTCTCCGACCTCAAACTGAAGCAACTTCCCAACATTCAGCTCATGTTTTCTTCAGTGTGACAGTTTGATTCAGAGTAACAGACAGTGTGAACACAGTGAAGCTGCTTGATGCCATTTCACTTTCTTCCCCAGATACCAACTTACATCATGCTCCTGTTTCTTCTCCCAGGATACGTCCCAGTTCCACGGCCCAAGTATGGCCCAAGTCTGGCTCAAGTCTGGCCCAAGTCTGGCCCAAGTCTGGCTCAAGTCTGGCTCAAGTCTGGCCCAAGTCTGGCCCACATACAGCGCAATGGTCAAATGCTACTTCCACATTTGGACCAATTCTGGCGCAAACACAGAAAATCTTCCAGCTGTCAGTGAACAGCGGAGGATAACAGCTGGAATCTGCCCAGATGTGGGAGTGAACACTGAATGTGTTTGTGTTGTGTTCTCTTTAGCTGCAGTGTGTTGAGCTTCAGGACCACCGTACTTTTCAATAAGGATAAAAAACCCATAAAAATCAGTCAGACAAAATTCACTGTGAACAAACCGCCCCCACCTTGAGTTTCTTGTCGGAGCTGGCGGCCTTCTCGTACATCATCTTGGAGCCTCTGATGTCACAGAGCTTGTCAGCGTCGCCGTGCAGCAGCAGGAAGGGCCAGCTGATGGACGGGATCTCCCGCTCGATGCGAGCCGCGGCCCCCATCAGCTGCATGCCGAACGACACCCGCATCCCGCCGTGGAAGTTCAGCTCATCAGCGTCATAAGCCTCCACCTGGGCGGAGACACAGAGACAGAGGAATTATGGGTAAGAGTCTGTTTCTTTCTTGTTTTACATTAAACCATCAGCTGTTCAGGAGGTCGACTCTCCCTCCTACAGTCAATGTATTTCTATTTCTTTTTCATGTAACCATAGCAACCACTGTGTATTTGTGACACGTAGACAGCGGTATTGTACGGCCTGGATTTTTGTGTTAAGTGGTTATATCTAACAAGCTAGTGTGACGTCTTTGTTGGTTTTGTGAGTGTCTGCTGTCTGCTGGGCTCGTCTGCTCATGATTGTCTTCCTGTGAACTGAAACACTTTTCCAGTGAAGACCTTGAATGTTTTGGAGCCAGTTCTTGTCTTTGAGTCTTTGTGGTCACCGACTGTTGTTTAAATTTTAGTTGAATTCTGACATTCTATCTTGAAAATCAGTTTATTATTGTTAATGATTTATTTCTCTTTAATCACTCATTTTCATTGTGTGTTGAACTAATGGTTCCACATTGTGCTTCACTGTGGACAGTTAATGACATGTAAAAATATTAGAGATGTATTGTTTGTGTGTCAGGTCATATTTACTCATTCATATCTGATTTATGTCATTAGACATGTGTTAGAGGATACTGCAGGTTATATCAGTAAATCACATTAAAGCTTTATTTATACTTTTGTGTTCAGGAGTTTAACTGTTCAACCTTTTTCAGTAATTCACAACTACTGGAAAACTTTACCGGCTGAATCAACAACAGTCACAACTTTAAGTTGTGAAACAACAGCGACACAGATGTAAATGACTTTTTATCGGACTTGCTGGTCTCTGTCTCTGTCAGCGTCTCCTTCTTCTGCTGTTAACTACTGTGACTTTTTTCTTCTTCACTGAGTCTATTGCGTGTTTATTGTAAGTGATGACACTATTTCCTCCAACAGACTGTAGGAAGCAGATGAAGCAGGATGTGGGATCCTACTGTTACAGCATGTTTATAACCACACAACCACACAACTACACAAACCACACAAACCACACAAACCACACAACTACACAACACGTTCACAGGTTCAAACACAATGGAGCTCAGAGCAACGGTGTGTGTTTGTCTCTTCTGTGGTTCAGCTCGAGGTTACACAAGAAATATGAGTCCAATATAAACACACACTACATGCACCTGTTTGTATAATTATAAATAACAATGCAACCCACCCAGGGTCTCTCTCTCTCACACACACACACACACACACACACACACACACTTGGCCAGACAACAAAACCCTTCAGGTTGGAAAAGGTTCAAAGTATCTATAGAGTGTTTTTCATCATGGGACTGTCCAACAAAGCACACACACGCACACACACACACACGCACGCACGCACGCACGCACGCACGCACGCACGCACGCACGCACGCACGCACGCACACACACACACACACACACACACACACATATACATAAAACACACATGCAAATTTCCACCCTGAGACCTTGAAAATTCTATTTTCTGCTACAGCCACAATCACATACAACAATACAGCTCAACACACGCACGCACGCACACACACACGCACACACACACACACACACACACACACACACACACACACACACACACACACACACAGTCCCTCACCTTTGTCTTGTCCCTTGAGACCCACTTAGACTCAATGGAGCCCAGAGTGAGGCTGGGTAACATGTGGTTCAGGACCTTCGCCAGGAAAACCTGCAAACAACCAAAAACAAAACCTTCTGTTTTCCTTCTCATGTGATCAGCTGTTCACACAGGTGTGAGGTGCAGAGTGAGATGACTCAGTCCTGGACGTGAGGAAGGACAGGGGAGAGAGGAGAGAGAGAACGAGCGGACGAAGTGATCATGTGATACCTTGAATGGCGTGGCTGAGTCTGGGTTCATCTGGACCATCGGTGCGATCAGAACCACTCCAGCAAAATCACTGGGCCGCTCACTCGCCGTCAGGATGGAGATCGCTCCGCCCTGAGGGGGAGAGAAGAAGATTAAATTTCATTTTCTCAAATGAGAATCTGACATTTAAAAGTTTTCAAACTTGTGTTTCAATCAAATGATCAAAGGTCACATTAAGGTCACGTTAAGGTCATGTTTAGGTCATGATTAGGTCATGTTTAGGTCATGTTTAGGTCATGATTACGTCATGTTTAGGTCATGTTTAGGTCATGATTAGGTCATGATTAGGTTTTGATTAGGTCATGATTAGGTCATGTTTAGGTCATGTTTAGGTCATGTTTAGGTCATGTTTAGATCATGTTTAGGTCACGTTAAGGTCATGTTTAGGTCATGATTAGGTCATGATTAGGTCATGATTAGGTCATGATTAGGTCTTGATTAGGTCATGTTTAGATCATGTTTAGGTCATGATTAGGTCATGATTAGGTCATGTTTAGGTCATGATTAGGTCATGTTTAGGTCATGATTAGGTCATGTTTAGGTCATGTTTAGGTCATGATTACGTCATGTTTAGGTCATGATTAGGTCATGTTTAGGTCATGTTTAGGTCATGATTACGTCATGTTTAGGTCATGTTTAGGTCATGTTTAGATGATGTTTAGGTCATGATTAGGTCATGATTACGTCATGTTTAGGTCATGTTTAAGTCATGATTAGGTCATGATTAGGTCATGTTTAGGTCATGTTTAGGTCATGTTTAGGTCATGTTTAGGTCATGTTTAGGTCATGTTTAGGTCATGATTACGTCATGTTTAGGTCATGATTACGTCATGTTTAGGTCATGTTAAGGTCATGATTAGGTCATGTTTAGGTCATGATTACATCATGTTTAGGTCATGTTTAGGTCATGATTAGGTCTTGATAAGGTCATGTTTAGGTCATGTTTAGATCTTCATTAGGTCATGTTTAGGTCATGTTTAGGTCACGTTAAGGTCATGTTTAGGTCATGTTTAGGTCATGATAAGGTCTTGATTAGGTCATGTTTAGGTCATGTTTAGGTCATGTTTACGTCATGTTTAGGTCACTGTTGAGCAGCTAGATGCTCAGTGCAGGAGCTGGAGAAGTTTATTTCACCAACAGATAAAAGACATGGTTCCAGAACACGGCACATCATTAATACACAAAAATAAAAATCATGATTAGGTCATGTTTAGGTCATGATTAGGTCATGATTAGGTCATGTTTAGGTCATGATTACGTCATGTTTAGGTCATGTTTAGGTCATGATTAGGTCATGATTAGGTTTTGATTAGGTCATGATTAGGTCATGTTTAGATCATGTTTAGGTCATGTTTAGATCATGTTTAGGTCACGTTAAGGTCATGTTTAGGTCATGATTAGGTCATGATTAGGTCATGATTAGGTCATGATTAGGTCTTGATTAGGTCATGTTTAGATCATGTTTAGGTCATGATTAGGTCATGATTAGGTCATGTTTAGGTCATGATTAGGTCATGTTTAGGTCATGATTAGGTCATGTTTAGGTCATGTTTAGGTCATGATTACGTCATGTTTAGGTCATGTTTAGGTCATGTTTAGATCATGTTTAGGTCATGATTAGGTCATGATTACGTCATGTTTAGGTCATGTTTAAGTCATGATTAGGTCATGATTAGGTCATGTTTAGATCATGTTTAGGTCATGTATAGATCATGTTTAGGTCATGTTTAGGTCATGTTTCGGTCTTGATTAGGTCATGATTAGGTCATGTTTAGATCATGTTTAGGTCATGTTTAGGTCATGTTTAGATCATGTTTAGGTCATGTTTAGGTCTTGATTAGGTCATGATTAGGTCATGTTTAGATCATGTTTAAATCATGTTTAGGTCATGTTTAGGTCTTGATTAGGTCATGATTAGGTCATGTTTAGATCATGTTTAGATCATGTTTAGGTCATGTTTAGGTCTTGATTAGATCATGTTTAGGTCATGTTTAGATCATGTTTAGGTCATGTTTAGATCATGTTTAGATCATGTTTAGGTCATGTTTACGTCATGTTTAGGTCACTGTTGAGCAGCTAGATGCTCAGTGCAGGAGCTGGAGAAGTTTATTTCACCAACAGATAAAAGACATGGTTCCAGAACACGGCACATCATTAATACACAAAAATAAAAATCTCGATGAAACACATTGTACTTGAGAAGTTTGTGAAATTAACTCTTTAGCTGTTAATTTATAATAATTGGTGTAATGTGCTTCAATCTTTGCTTTGTAAGGTTTTCACTCCAGTTCAGATCAGATTTGACTGAATGTTTAGAAGAAGAACCTCAGGCTGACACTTTTATCATCTAATGATGCTGTAACACATCCATCCACAAATACAGACAATACTCTGATCTCAACAGATCCATGTCACCAGCGTTGTGCTGTCAGGTGACCACAGTAAGTATCACCTGCTCAGCAGGACTGTATAAAAACTACTGAGCTGATTAGCACTGAACTTGGTGAGGGAGGGGGGTGGGGTGGGATGGTGGATCATTTACTAAGAATCAGCTGTCTTCCTCTGAAGTCTGGTGTGTGATGTTTGTTCTCGGCCTTGGTGGAGGTCTGTGCTCTCTGACTGTTCCACTACTTTCTGTGTTGATTAAACAAGGCTTCATGATTCCAACCTCACGTTATTCACGAGGAGTCGAGCCGACACTGAAGGAGGACACAGGTAGAATGTGTTTGATTCTCTCCATCTTCAAAAGGTGAAAGCAGCGAGAGGTTAGGACTGAAGGATCCACTGTCCCAGACTGATGATGGAGAATCACCAGGACGATAAATAATAGAAGGATTTAAAGTTTAAACAACACAAATTAAAACAGCTTGAAGAGTTAAAATGGAGTGGTACGTAACAGAGTGGGAAGGTCTTAGTAAAGTAGGTGAGAGGTTCTGATGCTTGAAGCAGTGGGAAACTACTCAGAGGTCAAGACCAACATAAAACAATCTGTCTTTTGTTTAGACTGGCGTGAGTTTCCTCCCTGCTCTTTTGTTGCTGCTGCTCTGCACAGACTGGATAGAAATGTGAAAGTGAACGCGCAGCTCTTTGGGCACAATGCGCACTGTGTGGCTGCAGCAGGCGGCCGCACAAGGCCACGCCTCTGCTCCCATGGCGACATTTGGGACTGTGGTTTAAAGCCTGTGATGTAAGGCCACGATCGTTAGCAGCTCTGTGGCAGACAACACTCAAATCCATTAGACATGGTTCACTTTGGGGTGATTCCTCTTCTCATACGCAACCAGTGATGGTGCACACACACACACACACACACACACACACACACACACACACACACACACTGATTCTGCATGGGTTAATCTGTCCCTCTCTCTCCTTTTCTGGAGACTAATTGGCTTCAACTTTGTTTATGTGAGCGTTCTTTGTCACTGGTGTGAATATTCATCAGGCTGCAGCCAATGACGGAGCGGCTTCATGAAAAGAGGCTCGAAGCAGCGAAAGACAAAACATTTCCCACCAGAAAATCTCACTTTCTAAAGACACAGGAACACATTGACACACTGCAGCCCACGCAAACACACACAGTCCAATCCAACACGCACTCAAAGACGAGCTTCCACTGAAACATCAGAGTAAACACCACGACACCACGACACTGAAACAAAACCTCTGCACAAACAGCTGATCAACACACTTACATGACTGACTCACACACATTCAGTCTCAGTGATAGAGAGATGAGTGTGAACAGAAGAGAGGGAGGGCTGGGACAGAAGCTCGTTAAGAAGCTGATTCCTCCTCATTTGGAGGATGAATACTGCTTCTGTTTCCTGGCCGGACTGAACCGTCAGAAACTGCCTGAGGAGCTAAAATACTCACATTATATGAACTACACAGCCGTCATCCTGACACTGCAACATCTATATATGAAACACATGATAATTATACAAACCAGGCCGCTGTATAATGGACCTTATTTAGACTAAATGGATAACGGACACACATTATAGAGACCAAAGAGCTGATAAATGGACTGAAAATAAAGGAAAATATGTCCGAGGTCAGGTCGTACATCATTCAGGTCGTACAATGTCCAGAAAAGGCTGAATCAGAGGACTGGGCTGGTTTTAGTTAGAAATGTGTCACTGATGATGTGAAGTCAGATTGTTAAAGAGCTTCTCTGTCCCAGGCCTCCTACTGAGTAAGATTTATGTTCAATAAAAACTTCACTTCACTGATTCATAAAAGGACAAAAAGGAAAAATGAGAACTATGTAACAGAACATACAAAACGAAACAGGGTTGAGAGCAGAATGAGAGTGAAGAGGAATGGATGCAGGGAGAGATGGAGGGATAAAGAGCTGAACAAACAAAGGTGAAGAACCGTTACATAAAACTCTGGCACTGAGGAAGGAGGACGAACGACCTGAGCCAGAAACACTGACGATGACGAAGGACGAGAGAAATGAGGAAGAGTGGGGAGGAGCCGGAGCTGGATGGACCGCTGCACTTTACCTGTGACTCACACTGAACTGACACATTAATGTTATCACAGTTTCACTTCCTCATCCAAATATAGACACGCTGATTCTTCTTTAGGAAATGATCAAATTATTCTTCACTTCATCCTGTAGCACTTTCACAATTACAGCCTCCATCATCAATCATCCATCCATCAATTCATCCATCATCTGTCCATCATCCATCAATCATCCATCCATCAATTCATCCATCAATCATCCATCCATCCATCCATCAATTCATCCATCAATCATCCATCAATCATCCATCATCAATTCATCCATCCATCATCCATCAATCATCCATCCATCAATTCATCCATCAATCATCCATCCATCCATAAATTCATCCATCAATCCATGTTAGCATGTACATTTAACTCACAGCAGCAACATGCTAACATGCTAACACTGACAATGCTAACAGCTGAAGGTCAGCAGGTCTCCAGTGATCCACTGTGTAACTCTAAGTTGTATGAATAGATTGAATTCAGTGTGTGTGTGTGGAGCAGCTCTGCAGCTGCAGCGACGACTCTCAATGATCATGAATAATAAGTGACTGTTCACTATAGAATAAACTACTGAGTGTGTTTCCTAGTGAATGAAGGAAGAAGGGAGTCGTAATATTTACCTTCTTATTCTAACGTGTTGCTTCCATTTTCTAACCAGCAGTAACACGACGCGTTTCTGACACTGACGAGAGCGTCAGTAGTTTTCAGGTTTTAAGTATTGGACACATCAACATTTTAACCTGATGATGACGGAAGATTCAGGATACAGAGTCTGATACCCATGAATGTCCATCTCCATCCATCTGGCAGATGTTCAGATATTTCACTGAAGGAGCGACCTTTGACCTGCTGCTTCAAATGTCAGCTGATCACCACAGTGAGTGAGCTTCCTCCTCTGAACACCTTTAATATCTGCAAAGTCATAATAACAAGAGGCTGAAAACACCTGATTAAACCTGACAGCATGAGGTCATCATCAGGGATCGGAACAAAATAAAAATTTAAGATCCATAAAAATAAATGAATGAACTATGATATAAAACAGGACCTTTTTTATTATATTTGGCTGTCTGCTGGCAGTGTTGCAGGAAAGGTGTGAGGAGTGATTCTTCCTTTATGAACTCGACACTGTGACTAACTGCCCCACGTCTCCTCAGGATATTATCATTGGAGTGTCTCTGCACATACTGTAGAGCCACAGGTGGTTTCCATTGTCTCTGTGGTTTCTGCTCCACCCTGGTCCTGTTCACACACATGTATACAGATGGAGCTGCACAGGAACAGGCTAATAGAAACAGGATGAGGCGTCACTGCGCTGGGAAACTGGGAAATGAGAGCTGTAAAAACACAGAAACACAGCTGGGTTTCCCAAACCTGAGGTCTGATTCCCAGAAAAGCACAGGAAAGGAAACAAGGAGGAAAGAAAGAAAAAGAAAATAAGGAGTCTAAACGAATCGAAAGCAAAACAAAGGGAGGGCGGGAAACAAACGTACTGCGGAGGAAAGAGAAGACAGGAAATTAAAGCAGATTATGAAGGACAGCACATAACGTGATGAAATGTGATGGAGGGAAAGAAAAGAGAGAGAAGAGGTTGAAGAGGAGATGAAAAGAAGATGGGGAGAGAAGAAGGAAAGGAAGGAGGAGCTGTTGTTGGACAGCACTTCCTAATATTTACAGTCTGATGTTTAAACAGATGATCAGCCTCCATCTGGGATCCCACGGTTTCATTTACACTAAACAGTTTGTTTGGAACGCAACCTGATTCTTCACATAAATACACAGCAGAGCCATAAAAGGTCTGTGAAGGAGACACTGGTGGATTAATGGAGCGCTGTTTAAAGCATCAACTGACAGAGCTGTAATATGAACTCATTCAGTCTGATGTTAAACACACAGACTCAAAGCTTCACTGTGGAAAATCATGTCAATATTATCAATAAAACAAAGTGTCAAACGACTCAATGAATCAATAAAAACAGAAGTTTCTCATTATGAAAAGAGGTTTTCTCTCTTTCTAATAAACCATCAGTTCTGCAGATACAAATATAACAGTCACTCATTAAATCTAAAAGTGTCTTCAACTACAATAATTAATCAATCTGCAGATCTCGCTTCATTAGAAAAGTGTAACCTTCACAGCACGACACAGAGACGCTTCATTCTTATTCCACCGTGACACAACAGGTACAGTGGTTCTGAAATCCATTATTTCTACACAGAAATTGATTATTGATTGGTGACTGGTACAAATTCTTTTGGAGATTTAATAAAACAGCTGAAAGACGAAGCTGCTGTTACACTGAAGGAGGAGGATACACTCCATCAGAGTGAAGTTCTCCTGAGCCATACTGAGTCATAAAGCATCAATAAAGATTCAGTAACATTAATGAATAAACCTTTAATAAATGAGCTCTTAATAACAAACCACAGACTGTATTTATAAAGAGCTTTTCTGTCTTAACGACCCGGACGACACAGGTGATGCACCGGTCTTCAGTGTCTCCCCCAAAGACACTTGGACATGTGGACCGGAGGAGCCGGGGATCGAACCACCGACCTTCTGATTAGTGGACGACCTGCTCTTGCTCCTGCTGCTACTCAGTGTCGGTGAAAGTCTCGTCACTGCTTCTGTTGCAGATTTATATTTATACGTATGGATCCAACAGGAGGGAGTGTGTGCTGTGAGATAACGAGGCTTCACTGATCTGTAATGAGTTTCCTCTCATCAGACTCAACACTGTGTCTGTTCAGTCTCAACTTAACTTTAACAGGTGAATCTACTGTTTCATGTTTTGTGACAGTGAAGTCAGATTCTCCTTCATGTAACATGATCAAACATTGAAGCAGAAGCTGAGCAGCTCGATCTTCCACAGAGAGTTCAGAGGTCGGCGCATCGACAAACACAGAGCCATGGGTTCTTATATAACTCATCAGGACTGTCTGAGCTCTGCTCGCTGCAGTTACTGGGTCACTGAGCACAACACAGAGAGGATGAATACGCCGATCAGTTATAAATAGTTCCCTCGTCGGCCTTCAAGCTTCTGCGTCCAAGTGTTACATAAAACTTCTGAATAAGATCCTGGTTCATGTGTTTCTGCAGCGCTGACTGTAACTACAGATATAACAACTGATACGAGCAGGTAACGAGAAGCTCGGGCTAATGGGAAATTTATCATTCATGAAATAATTAGCAAATGTTTTAGTTGTATATTAAACCATCGTCACTGAACATTACACAGTAAACTACATGAGACAAACTGTCCATGACAGAGTCAATAAATTCCTCTTTACTTGATGAGATCAGACGACAGGACCGAGACTAAGCTTAGCTTAGCATCAAGACTGGAAACACATGGGAACAGCTAGCATGGCTCTACCCAGGGCTACAAATCCATATGAACTGAAAGTAAATATGACTCTTTGAGGTTTTCGGGGCAGTTACACGCTGGAAACATTTCTTAGCACCAAGGCTGGAAACTGTTCGTGTGAATGTAAAAAATCTGCCTGTCAGCACATCTGAAGCTCATTATTTAACATGTGTGTCAGAGGTGTTACTGAACAGAGCCAGGCTAGCTGTTCACAGTCTTTATGCTAAGCTAACCTGCTCCGTTTTTAACTTCATGACCAAATAATCAATCGATTAAGACAGATGAATTTATTATTAATGAATCCGTCCCTTAAGACTTTGGAAAGATAAGAACGTTATGACGCCTACAGCTGCTGTGTGTGTCATAAACACACTGACCCTCAGCGTCGCTCACTGTGCTGGTCTTTACATTACAGAGAACATGAGGTCAGTGACCCTGAGACTGAATCTGTGTCACTGTGTGAAAGGTGAGCAGCAGTTAACGTCACCACAGAAGAAGAACCTGATGTTTAAGTGTTTTAATGTTTGAGATTATTATTGTTCCTGACAGTAACGTTAAAACAGCCGGATTCAACCGACTCATAACTGACACACTAACCACTGCATACTGACTGTGTGTGTGTGTGTGTGTGTGTGTGTGTGTGGCACATTGTACTAGGAGCTGTGAATCCACTGAAAGCAGATTATGTAATTTCACAGCAAACAAAACAGACAAACAAGAGCTTCAGTAACACACACACACACACACACACACACACACACACACACACACAGCGTGGACAGTTTCCTACCATGGAGTGACCCACGATGAAGACGGGCAGCTCGGGGTGACGTGACTTCATCAGGTCGACGTGCTGCAGAGCGTCTCTGATGTAAACCTGGAAGTCTTTGATGTTCATCCTGTCTCCTTCACTCTGACCATGACCGACTGCAGGAGACGAGGAGACGAGGAGACGAGGAGGAGAAGAAGAAGAAGAGGTGTGAGGACAGAATATTTTCCCACTGTAATTTTATGATTTTAAGAGATTTTTAATTCAACATTTTCACAGCTGAAGAGGCTGATGCTTCTTCAACTCGTTTCTCTCCCTGAGGTGACGAGTCACTGATATCTGACAAATACATCCCTCACTTTTCAAACTTTAACAGAGGTGAATGAAAGACAGGAAGGACACATGGAGGGGGAGACATGGCTGAGGATAAGATTAAGGAAAGGAAGACGGGATGAGAGTGAGAGGAGAGGAGAATAAGGAGGAGTGGAGGGAAGGATGGAGAAAGAAAGAGGAGAGAACAGGAGGAGGTGGGAGAGGAATCTGGATGAGTGTGAGAGGAAGAAGAAAGGGATGAGAAAGAGTGAGATGAAGGAGAGAAAGAGGAGAATGAAGACCACGACTAGAGGAGGAGGAAGAGGAAAGAGAGTGAGAGAGTGAAAAGAAGACGTGAGTTTAATGGAGAGAAAGATGAATGAAGTGGAGGGAAAACAGCGAGAGATGAGTGAGAGGACGAGAGGAAGAGAGAAGACAAATGGAGGAAACATATATGAATATGTATGTGTGTATTCACACACACACACACACACACACACACACACACACACACACACACACACACACACACACACACGTGTTCTCCTCCAGTTTTCTGCAGCAGTGGATGAGAGGTGAGGCTGGTTGCCACGGCGACCACTGAACCAATAGCATGAGTGAGCTCCTAAACATTCACACACCTCAAGTGTGTGTGTGTGTGTGTGTGTGTTTCTAAATATACTGAGCGCAGCTTGTCTTCACTCTGTGATGATCGCTTCAGTATTGACGAGCAGAGAAACACACAGTGTGGAAATCAATAACCAATCACAGCAGAGCTGACTGATCGAGAGCTGCTAATCTATAGCCCCCCCCCCACCGGATCAATGACACCACACTCCGCTGACTCCACACCTTCTGTTGTTACAGTCACAGGCAGACCAATGAACAGGTGAAAGTGTTTGAAAGCTTTAAAGAAACATCCAATGACAGAACAGCAGCCCTCTGCACACGGCACCTTCGTGATCATTGATGAGGAACTTCTGTACGTGTCGCTCTTCGTGGTCGTGAATGTGAATCACATGTTTGGATAAATCAGGGAACGTCTCATTGTTGTTATCATTATCAGTTTCACCGTTATTTGTGTTTTCTTGTTATTTTCTCGTTCCCTCTTCTCTCTTTGATTTAAACTGACATGATGATGTCACGTTTACCCGAGCGGACCAGGAAGAGAAGCTGCTACCCAAATAAATAAACAAACCAACAGCATAAACCCAGCAGACACTGATCCACCGCTGCATCAGAGAGGAACCACTGAAGTCCTATAATAAGTTATATCATCATATCAAACAGCCTGCAGCCAGTGAGACTCATCACTGCTGTAACCTGATGATCCGGTGACTCACCTGCTCTGCTCCACGGACAGAGAGCAATAGCACATGCTAATGCTAACGCTACACACAGGTGGGTCCATACAGTCAAACACATGCAAATGCATTAGAGAAAGGTGCCTGATGATTCTCACAGTCATGACCTCATACAACCTTTACAGTGGGACATGGCGTGACTCAATCAATCACATTGATCTCTTGATTATTTGTTGATGAACTGATCAATAAGTCCGTCATAGTGAAAAATGACATTTCCTCAAGGCGACATATTTAATATATACATATATAAAACAGAATAAACTCCTGTATTTAGCATTTACAACACCAACATTAATAAATGGTTTATGACACAATATAATGGAGTTTAAACAGATATGAGTTAATAATGTATGTAACTGTTTTATATTGACAAATTCTGTACCTTATTAAACAATTAAAAAATGTCCTTATAGCTGAAAAATCTACATTATATTATGTATCAACAGCTACTACAGTGTTATAAAACATTTATTACATATCTGCTTAAATTCTCAGTAAAAAAGAAACAAACCGTCAGATCTGAGAATGAAACCAGGAAATGTTGAAAGTAATTGATTTGATAAATGACTTGATTAACTTATTGATCTATTTACTATAGATTGTCTCAATGAAAGCTTTGTTGAAACTTCACATATTATCATATTATTATAAAATGAATACGTCTCCTGGGTTGTTGACGCTGGATCTATATGTTTGTGCAAATCATGAACAAACACGACATTCTTCCTGGTGATGAGCTCCGGGTGAAGCTGCTCAGCTGTAGGAGAAAGAATCTCTGCATTGATGAATTCAAAGACTTTGAAGCATGAATCTAATTAAATGTCAAACCTCCATTATGTTCCTATAATGTAACGAGAAGACAAACATGATTAGTGCAGCATTAGGCTGCTGCTGTCGACTCTCACAAACAATCCATGATCAATGTTTCTCCACCGCCTGATGATGAAATGTCAGAGCTGGTTCTTTACGTCCACACTGTACAAGAGATTTACAGCAGTCAGAGGAGGAAACCTCCAGTCTCTGCAAGGCCGAGAAGTAAATCTGTGTGTGCGTGTGTGTGTGTGTGCCTGTGTGTGTGCGTGCGTGTGCCTGTGTGTGTGTGTGCCTGTGCATGTGCGTGTGTGTGCCTGTGCATGTGCGTGTGTGTGCATGTG